TTCCAACATTGGTGGCCTGTTATACTCATTAGAATCTTTCTTTTGTATCCAAGCGTTTTGATTTCGGAAGATTTACTGAGCCCAAGAAATAATAAACTGTGATAACTTATTTTATTCTAAAAGTTAATTTTATTTAAAATAAACTCTTGGTTATCTATATAAGTTCTACTGCACTCGAATGAACGTGATTTCCATTAGAGAATCGAGTGTATTCTTTTGTCACTACAGATATAGCTCTACTCACGCATATTCAGAGTTTAGTCAGAGAGCTTGGTATTCCTGCTCGAGGGCACACCCCGAACTTGTTGCTGGATGCTAAAGCTAAACGAAGTGGAGATGCATTTACAGATGGCCTTATGGAACCAGGCTACTTGACTAAAATTGAGCAGGCAATGATGACGTTTAGCAATTATTATGTTATTATTGCTATACCAAGTCTTATTAGTGGATAAACCATATAGATTTCTAATAACATCTCCCTATCAGATAAACTAGAATATTTTGGGGATGTTGATTAATCCATCCTTTTTTTGGAATCAAGTTATATTCTAGCATATAATTATCACTTGTAATTTTTGAAGTTCATGACAGTGAGCATGTACAGAACTCATTTTCCTTGCCTTATTTTGAATAATTCTAGGTTTATCTAATAGTTGTGTATTTTCTGTTATATTTAGGTTTGCGCGTATCTCAACGTGATTTAATTTTTCGTAGTGCGAATCTTAATCTTGATTTTTTCGAGGCTCATAAAATCCCTCCATTACATTCTATATTAATTTTATGCATTTCCCAGCAAAAGTTTGATCAATAACAGCCAGGTGCTTCGGGTTTTGCGACAAAGTCATGAGTAAATAAACTATTGGCTTATATCAATATGCGCAAATGAAGAGTCTTTACTAAGCCTGATTGTGTTGTCGTTTTGCCTCAATAAGCATAAAATTAGTTCTAGATGTATACATATGCCTTTAATCTCCTATATACCTTTGAATTTCCTCCAGGAAGGCCGTTTTGTTGAACTGAAACAAGCTATTGCTAGCCTTCCTGAGGCTGCCTGGGAGTTAGTTGGACCTATGGATATGAGGTAAGACAAGTAGTAGAGGTAAAATCCCGTACTGCATTCCCGATATTGTTCATTTTCAAAAGCTTTCTCCAATGATCGATTTTTTCATTGCCTTTTCGAAGCTCATTTTCATAAGCTTTTCTACCAGGAGTTTTGATTGTCTGAGTCTTGTAGATTGAATGCCCACAGGGAAACGTCACTTAAAGCTATTTTATGTTAGATCTTTAATTACATTAATGAATAGTATCCTGTACCATCCTGTCATTTGAATTGCTCCATTGAATCATTGCTTGCCAAGGGCATGCTAGTTCCCAACCTTAATTATTTTCTTATTTATCTTAACTTTTCAATATTCTTTCCACCTAATCCACGATAATTATTTTCATTTATACATCTTGCACCTTGATTACTGCTTTGGATTCATTTCACTACTTTTGCCTGTTATTATTCACCTTATCGTTTCTTTCACTCACATATCTCAGAGCAGTACATGGATATGAAAAAGTGAATGGGATACTATGACAATTTTGAATATATATATATATATTTGACTTTGTTTTAGCAGGTCTAGTATCTGAGTATAATGCTTTGTGGCATCACCCGCTAAAGGGCTTTTTGATTAAGGATGGACTATATTTTTGATCTCGCTTGAGTTTCAGCAACTCCCGTAATTGTATTCGAAGCTGTTTTTTGCTCTTTATATGACTGTGAACTAATTTTATCGTTGCTGCTCAACCCCTACGATTCAGTCAGAATATAGTCGGGGGGCTCATGAAGCCCAGGCAAAATAGAAACCGCAATCCACCATAGATGAAAAAGCCCATAAGCCCTTAATATATTATTTATTTAATTTTAAGACTTAAATATAGGACCTTCCATTACCTACTGTGAATATTTATTATAACATATCCGCTGCTAGTTTTGAAGCCCAATCAATATATCTTGACTTCATCCGTATCGATCGACAGATCCGTCCAATAGAAATGTTTTAGTTTCCTGAGTTGTTTGTCCACAAATACAATCAAGGCACTTAATCAAAAGCCATCTTCCATTGGAACTTGCTTACCTACCTTGCCCATAATGCTTGGACCTGATGTATTCTGGAATGATTTTTCAATTATCTACTAGCTTTTTAAAAATCCATGCAAGAATAAAAGAGTAATTGAAATTTACACCTTTTTTCGATTATTTTAATTAAAATTATCAAAACAGACACTTTGAAGCTCTGCCATTTGTCTTCGGAGCTAGCCTCGATGACAGTCTTCTTACTGCATACCAGGTGAACGACGAACAATTGCCTTCATTGTTACAGCAGATGCAATTGCCCGAAGTCTGTCGCCAAGTATTACGTCTGTTCGCATCTGAGGCGATGCTTTTGGTTCTTTCTGAGATTACCAACACTCATCTTTTTCCCAAGGAACAGAAGTCAATGAATACATCGAGTGGCAGACCATCAGGTCAGGTGATGAGAAAGGAAATCTGCTCTGTTTCAGAGAGCTCTGAGGCAAGCTCTTAAACTTACCTTAAGCTTTTAACATGTCCCTTAAACTACGTGCCCCATTTCAGGTTTCCTATTTAGAATATTACCCATAACAATTCATCTGTGATACTTGATGATTCTTTTCTCGGGAGGAAAAATAAGCCAATAACAGGCCCTTGTTTTAATCGCTTTTACTCAACTCCTAAAAAAATATATCTCAATTTTTTCAAATTCTTAGCAGTTACATCAACAAATAATCATTCGAAATGTCAACTATGCTATCATTTTTACTTCTCATTTAACATTTTCTTGTACTGCCCAGTAAATTGCAATCTTTTCGGCACGACACTAGGCGATTTGATCCTTCTAAGGGCCTTAATGGCTTCTGGTCATTTGTTATATAATACAAGTAAGGCTAGCTCCATTTAGCAATTAACGTACACCAATCATTACCCTGGCGTTATATGCAACCAATTCTTTTTTATTTCCTTATTACTTTGAGAGTAAGCTGGATTCCGTCACCTTAAAACGACGGAATCCCTGTTATACAGGCTGAAAAAGGCAGTTATTTCTCATGTATGAAGGCATTTAATCTTCACTTGAATTTTTACAACGATTCACTACTTTAAAAATCACATTAAGATATGACTAATTTACCCTAATGTTAATCCCTTAAAATCAGCCTTCTGCAAAGCATCTTCGCTCAGATAGAACAGATGGTGGCGGGGCTAGCAGTAAGGTGCCCCAGCTAACAGCACCCTGCTTCAGACGCTGGTGTGCCGGCTCCTACTCATTGCTGGCTGATCAGTTCGTTGCTAGCCCCCTTGCTCGATGGCGAGTAGAGACTTTGCTTCATCTTTTGCCGCAGAGACCGTGGGTCGAAACACCGTCAATCTGCCCATCTCATCCTACTTCTACTCTACCATCTGATGTCTCCCCTTCATCTAATAATTTTAGGGAGCAGACGGACTTTGAATGGCAAGATTCGTGGGGCGGACAAACTATCTACTTGGTTAAAGATGAAGACGAAGAGGTAAGTGCTATTTCATATTTAATTTCACATATGTTTAAGGCACACTTGTTTCTAATTTTCCATGTAGCAATCATACTTATTTCAATGTACAAAAACGAGCACCAAATTTGCAAAATTCTATTCGTAAATTAAAAAAATAGATTGTTTGTAATTTAACTTCCTTCCATTAAGCTAATAGACAAATTGTTTACTAATAATAGATAAGTTTGGTTAGCTTCGATGGGCCAGTAGAACAGTTTGTGTACATGTACAAAACATGTATTACGCCAATTTTTTGAAGGCCAACCACAAAAATACTTTTAAATGTGTTATTCTTGATGGTATTATTAATATTATTAATTTACGGTTAATATAATTAGGTGACTGAACTGTTAAGAAATAACCAACTTAATAGCCGCGAATTTCGTCTCATAATTGCCTATTGAATATTAGAATGGCTAGGAGTGTAATCGTAAGAGGAATATTCGCATCGATTGAACGACCGTAAGAAGCCTGATTCTAATAGATATAGAATTATGTCAAAAAATTGGACAAATCAACTATCATGTCCCTCCGGCAGACTTAAAGAGACAAGTCAAGTCAAGTCCTTGATCAACTACGATGCCGGCGAAACGTCTGAGAATGTACCAAATCCACCGTCCGACTCTGGGAATTGTCACGCACACTATAGACCCTGGACAAGGTGCGTTCCTCTAGATCGTCCTGCCAATATAACCAAGTTGCGAAAATAAGGTCAAATAACTTATATAAAAATTAGTGATATGATAACCAAGATGGTGTGGCCATTGGTATGATCGCAATCTCCTTTCGATTTATGGAAATGGGTTAACCTTGTTTTCGCAACTTGATTGTGCTGTCAGGGCATTATGATAACTAGTGTAGCAGACTCCTGACAAGGTGAGCCCAACTAAGTCGCCCTAACAACACGACTAAGTTTCGAAAGCGAGTTCAGTCAACTTCTATAAAAGTCATTGCTAACAGCCTTCTAGAGACAAATTTAATTCCCTGCAATGAAATGGCCAGGAGACAAGCCTTTACATTTGACGGAGTTGGTCCAATGAACGCTATTATACGAGTAATGTTGCAGCAGGCGCTATAGGCATAGTAATAAGTTTAATCATGGTAGCCTCCCAAGAGTTTGATTGCTCACCTTGACATTCACCGACTCATTTACACGCGCATATTCAAATGGGGTAGAACCATATGACAAGGCTATGCTGAAAGAGTAGAGATGGATAATAGGAGCAAGCAAGAGCAGTCATATCCAAAGAAGAATTGAGCATGGAGATATAGCTTCATAGCAGCAATTCCACTGTAACAGGATGGAGTAACTATTGTTTAATATGAAACTTTTAGTGCCACTTTCATTGCATAGAGGTAATTTTACTCCGTTTTTGCAACCGTTCGTAGCCATGGGAACCTGGATGAAAACATCTTACACAGAGTCCTCTGAAATAGTATTACTGATAATCTCCAGTGTCTGACTGTAGACTTAGTACATTCTTGGAACCAAGCTAAAACCCGTCAGAAACAAGTAACATTATTTTTTCCAACTTTCTCCCAGATCATATACTTGATCAAGCCGTGTACTGTGAGCCAACTGTCTCTAGTGGAGTTCTGGTTCAGTTGGCTTCAGGTTTTTATCTATAATACCAATTCTGACTTTCAAATGTCCTAGTCTTATATGTGTCAATCCGCAAATGTTCTGGAGTTTCCTTGGTTTAGCTAGGCTCAATATAAACGTACCTTGATTTCGAGTAGTTCTTGGAGAGCTTATGCTTCGCGACTTTTTTCTTTTCTTAATAGCTCCTTGATCTAGTCGCCTACTTTTTGCTATTTCCTAATCTCACTTGAGTTTCCTCAAGCAACATGCGCAGCCTTCGCTAATTTTGCCTTCTTACTGCTCCTGTTGATTAGATTTTTTCAGTCTGGATATCGGTGGCTTCTCTAATCTTGCGTTTTGTACTTTTAAAATGAGGCCAGTCTTTATCTTCTTCGATTCGATTTCATGTCCCAAATGTGCAATACATTCTGCTATTTAGGATCTTTCCGCTTTCATGTTTGTGTAGATTATTTGGCGCTCCTTAATTCGTAAGCTGATTTTTGTTCCCGTATCACAAATATGCCTCTGCTCACATTTTAAGCGACTTAAATTGCTTAGGGTGATTTTAAGATGCATAATTGGCTTCTTCTACAATGATATGAATAGGCCCCAAGATGCCACAACATTTCATTTGGCCTTTCCTCCAAAAAGGCCATTTTATCTAGGCTTGACTGCAATTATGACCTCAGTAACCCTAGTGGGATTCAATACCGGGTCAAAAGTATTGTGGCAATATTACGACTCAACTACACTGTACTCATACATCCTCAGCTATAGTAATCATGATATTTTCAGGAGTTTCACAGCAATCGTCAACGAGAAGCGCTTCACTTAGCGCAGGTTACAGCTTGTTAGTTACAAATAAACGCACTAATATTCACCCTATTTAAGGTGATAAAGGACTGATAGTTGATTTTTCCCACAATGATATGAGTAGAGCCGATGTTTCCATTCAATTTCACAGCCTTGCTTTCCCGAAAGGTGTTCTCGTTCAATGTAGACTGCAGTTTCGACCTCGCGTAGGTCTTATTAACACCCCAAGCGGGATTTGAACCATGACAGTGCAGCGTGTAATCTTGACACGTTAAATACTACGCCTGATTGCCACAAGTGCCCTTGAGTCAGAGGGCAGGTGCGAATTTCAAGGAATGTCAAGCATTTTCCATATCACATTCTGTTGGGATTATCGATGAAGCAAACTTATATTTGCTGTAGCAATCGACGACTACTTTTTTCATAAATAATCTTTTTTTTCATTTAAGTTCACCATCAATTTCATTTTTGTTTTGAAAAGCTTTTGATTGAATTTATGCAAAAATTACCCATAATTATTATTTTAAACTTTTAAGATTCTTTCCGTAACTCCACGAGACAACTCCTTAAGCATCGCCTACATTGACGAAAGCACTTACAGCTTTGTAAAGTATCTGAACCATGGACGGCCACAATGTTCAGTGAGATATAATCAAATGAACCTGGTGGACTTGAGTGTAACGTACTTAGAGCTGGAGGGTACAGACAAAATAGCGGAGAGCGATGCTATTGCGAAGAACTGCAGTGACAAAGAAAGTGAGGGAGATTAAACGAACCACGAGGTGAGATGCTGGTCATTAAAAATAATTCATTAATATAAAATATAACCAATTATTATCCTTGGGATTACTTGATGATTTTCGTTTGAAGTAGCTTTAAAGTCTACCTGTAGTCCTTATATAAGAAATGTATTTGCCTTATTTCGCGTATGAAGTTCTGGTAAGCGATATTAGTAGGCTAAACTTTTCCATTGAATTTCAATATTTTATTCTGAATAGTGTACGGCAGTTTCTACCTCGAATAGGGTACTTGAGGCGAGATTCTACACAGTCGGATGCTCATAGTCTGCATGAAATTTATAAGATCTCCGAATTAGTGTAAATAATATAAGTTGAATAATGCAGCTTGTGTAGCCAATTAAGAAAATCCAAAATCTTAAGAGGCAACCTTGTAATGAGCTCGTAGGCTTCGATATATCGTCTAAGTAACTAATAGTCCTAATAAGTAATTTCATCAGTTATGCCTTAATAGGTTTTATACTCCTGATAATGCATATGTAGGAACGGACTGGCGACACATCCACAGATAAGTTGTGAATCTGTGTTAACAATGGCGCTTCTCACTAACGATGCCGGCAAAACATTTATACCCAGCCAATGATCCAATGCTGGACCAAGGTCTTCCTGACTCTCCGACCAAGTTGCGAAAAGAAGGTTGAACCAGCACTAACTATAGTGCATTTACGCAAAGAAACAGCTGTAATCACATCCGCAGCGTGCCCCAAGGTTCCACATTAGGGAGGTAAGATTAGGAATGACAAATAGTGGACTAGTAGTACACAGGTAGATTACGATAAGCCAACATTCTTGTATATGTATTTCTTTTTTAAAGACTCCTCATTTTGGCAGTATCTAGGCTCGACGGCGATTAATCGAGGTACAGGCCACTTTTCTTTATGAATAAAAAGTCCATTGTAATCCAAGAGTCTATTTCTCATGACCATGCCGTGTGCATGTTCTAATGGATTCATTAAATCATCTTTCCACAGCCATTTCGTGTTTCTGTCATGAATTTGTTTAATTCCCCATTATTTGCATTTCCTTCTTATTCGTGCTCAGATCAAGAAATCCGTATACAAAGCCCTGCTGCAAGAAGCCCACAGCCTCATTGTAAATAGAAAAAGTTGAATGATTTAGAAAATCTTTTTATTTCGTCACACCCACATACTCGAAAGTGGATAAGACGTGTAAGAAAAACAAGGATTTTATGGTAAACGGACAATGATAGTACGTATGGCAGATGCGCCTATGTTTATGCCTATTTAAAAAACGTGGCGATGAGGAATTGCATCAAACTAGACAAACACCTGTACACAAATGCTAAATGGGAAGTTTCTCTTATTCACTTCAATACCAATATAGGCCTCTGCAAGCGTAAAACGGCGAATGCAGGGAAGACTAGACATTGTGGGCCAACTCAGATTCTGAGTGTTTGGCCATTTGCATTAGCGTCCCTTCGTCCGCAAGTCTTTCTACTGCCTTCTGTCGAATGGTCTTTCGGCCGGTGTCCGTGGTCTGAGCATTTGGCGAGGTCGACTTTGAAGGAGAACGACGCCCTCTCGAGGGCCTTCGGCGTTTGTCTCGAGTGCTATAAGGACACTCCTCATGGATTCCCAGAGAGCGTTGGTTGTCTCGAATAGTACTTTTATCATCTGGATCAAGGACCAGGGACTGGTTATGGTCACGGCTGAAGTCTCCGCGCGCCATTGAGCCGGTCCGAGCACCCCGTGGCTTTCTTTCGCTAGCTGTCAGTCAAAGGTAGTGGAATGAAAGGTCATACAAGCTAAAATATATTTATTAAATTAGGCGATATCTGTTTTTCGTTTCGCGATAATCGGAACGGCCCCAGCACTTCCCTGTTTAATAGAAGGCTTATAATTGTCTAGCTTTTGGGTGAAGAAGTAATTTTAGGCGTGATACATCACGACAAAATGAGCTTGATGAAAGGTAATGCCTAAATATGCGCCAATGATAATAGCTAGCTTAGATGAGTTTAGCCATGCCTAGTGAGTTCACGGAATACACACCTTGCAATCTAGGTGAAATCAGGCATTAAAACTTGACCTTCCATATAAATAAAAAAGCCAGTGAGAAAAAGGCACTATATTCACTTACATCAAGCTATAAAATTAGAAACATGAATATTTTTAGTATATATTATCAGCGCGAAGATCCAGACGGAAGATATCAACAGATCACTGGCTGGTGTGAGGAATTACACTTGAAAGGATGGGATTAAGATGTATGTATAATTTGATGTGAATTCGTGAATGCTTCTCTATACTGGCCTAAAATGATTATCTACGCCTAAAGAATATATTTACATGGATAAAGCCGACTAGGATGCGACTTTGGGGAAAAATTGCATGTTTGCGTATACAGATAAAAGGGTTACGATATATAAACTCTTTGAAGAGGTATTTCAATTTTAAATCCTCGAATGTTCTCTAAATACTGATCAATATATCTAGAAGTAAAGTAAGTTTGTTGAGATAGGAAATAATGATAAATTTCAACCCTTGTAAGAATTGTGTATAAGCTTTCATACGCTGGAGGCCACACACAAT